TATATATATATATATATAAATTATTCAAATAAAAGGAACAAGGCAGATTTTCAGCCATTATTGTACTTAAGTTTGTTTTTTTTTCCGAAATGACTCTTCATATCTCAATCACGGTATGTTCTTCCTCTTTTACTATAGCACTCTGATCTTTTCTAGAATCTCTTGCACAGTACTCTATTTGTAGTTTCAGGTATACCAAGAAAACTCCAACAAACAAACTTGAAATAAATGCAAATTAGAGGCCTTTGATGTCTAACATAAGCTTCTAATTGCAACTAGCTTCAACCAATGACTTTGGTGTTACCCTTAGCATTCAAAATCAACACCAGTTTGCATTTTTAGTTGAGTTTTAAACTTTTATAAAGTGTTATTTAATACAACAATGATACTTAACATCCAATTAACTCAAATGCAAGATATATGCATACATGCTTATGCTTATATATGTTAATATGCATGTACACAGTACACCAAAACATGTGTGCAAAAGGTAATCAGAGAATGAAAAAAGAAAGAGAGAGAGAGAGAGAGAACAAATACTTGCCTTTAGCATGCCCAATCTTGAAAGCTTGCGTCCAGTGCACCTTTTGGCATCGCATTGCCCAAAATCCTGAGTCAACATCACACGAAACCAATTACATCCAAAATACAAAGTCACACTACATACCATATGAATATAGGAGTCTATTTGGATATATACTAATAAGTAATTTTGATTTGAGAGCTTCTCTAATAAAGATAACTCTTTAATTTAAGTAGAAAAACTCTCAAAAGTATTTTTCCTTGTATTCAAACGGATTCTATATATGAATTCAGCAATGACATGTATATTATATAGTAATACCAAACAATAGTACTATGTTGAACTTGTTATTCTACTCATAGTGAGACTCCTAGCGGAATATCTAACAACTCAGTAAAATTAAAATTGGGAAAACGGTTATATGCATACCCACATTGCAAGCTTTATTTTGGGTTCCGTGAGCTCCTCCTCCTCTTCCTCCTCACCCTCGACATTTTCCGTTGCTGCAGCGAACACAGAACATGTTATGTTTGAAAATAAAGAAGTAAATTGAACCAAAAAAAAAAAAAAAGATGGAATCGAGAAGTACCTGGAATGGAGCTTTGAGAATCGTCGTCTCTGAAAAGAAGTTAGAGAAATAAGCAAAGGCGCGTAAAGAGGGATCAAAAATCGAAAGCATAGGTATTGGGAAAGAAGTTAGTTACAGTAAGAGTTGTTGGTGTTGTCGACTTGATTGAGCGCGATGAGTTCTGAATCTCCTTTGTCTGTTATTCCCCATTTTTGCAAGAGAACGCCAACCGGAAATTGATTGTTAGTTGTTACTGCTTTTGCTATTTGTTCTTCTCATTAGGTTAATATGTTATTGTCGTGCTCGTGCCTATGGGGTTTAAGGTCATTGCATCCATGGGTGCGCATTTTAGTACCACATTTGTTATCTCCATTTTATTATATTCATAATTTTAATCACTCAATTTTTAGATTTGTAATTTCACTTTTAAATTTTATAAAAATTTTAATAAATATTATTATTATTAAATATTTATTTGTGAAATTGTTAACATACAGCTACTTCTTTTTTTTAGAAGAAGTACATTAGATTACAATTACAATATTTTTTAAAATATATCTAAATGTAACTTGTTAATTTCTTCCTTCTAAAAGTTACATGGTATAAGTTAATTGAAAAACTCCTAAAAATATAGAAAAATTAATATTTAATAATATTTTAGTTAAATTGTATTTTCGTTTTCATTTTAACATATTTTCATTTATTTTTACCATTTTATCAGGTAAATAATTTTAACCCATTCTTATCTATTTTTAACACTTTTATAGGATAAAATATAGGAATTAATAGTTTAATTATTATTAAATATTATTTATCATGATACTTATTTAATATCAAATCCTTTATTAAAAATTCCAATGTCAACTAGTGAAATTTTAACAATTGAATCAAAATTATAAAATTTTTATAAATTTCAAAAATTATAACTGTGAATTTAAAAATTAAGAGAGCAAAATAACATGTTGAATATTCTGTGAGAAAAAAGTGAATTTAGTTGACAATTATTCATTTTAGTTAAAAACAAAAATAATTGCTGAAAAAATAAAAGGGTTTTTTTAATTTTATTTTATAAATTTACTAATGCATGTATATGTAACGTTTTCTTCTCTCTCTCTCTTTTTTATTAATCGTTATTTTTTTTTCTAGAATAAAAAACTTACTTTTTTTTTTGGTGTTGAAAAAACTTACTTTGATACCATATGATAAAAATGATTATTTTCTAAAAAAATATATATAATTGACCGATATTTGTGAGGAACAGTGTGTAAAAGAGTATTTTAGTATCTTGTATCATAATGTTAATCACACTTTGTAACTATATGTGAAAGAGGAAAAAATGATTTTTTCTCTCTAAAATCCTTCTTTTAGTTTATATTGATTTATGTTTTTTTACATGTTCTTAAATTGGTCATGTGGTTGATTATTAGTTGACATCATATATGAGTATAAGTGAATTTGCACTTTTCATGAAGGTCCTTTGGTCCAATTTAATATTAGTTATGAATGAAATCATGTTTGAACATAAAGTCAAAGTCAAGAATCTCCCATATCAATTGTGATAATCAATAGGAACATCTTAATAGAGAGACTAGTCCCATATTTAATTTAATAAAAAATATTTAAAAATTATCAATATTTATTAAATCAATTAATGTTATGTTTAATTATTAAATTTTAAGATATTGAGTTCAAGTTTTAAATTTATAAAAATACTTAATTTTAAATATATATATATATATATAGGGATGACAAAAATATCCGCACCCACGAGTATCTGTGGATAAAATTCGCTAGGATAATAAATGGATAGGCTAATTGGGTACTCGCAGATAATGGAGACGGATAATTTTTTACCCGTTTATAAATGGGGCGGGGTCAGGTATGATAATATCCAAACCCGCGGGTACCCGTTTAATATTATTTCTTAAATATCCTAATTATCCTTGTACCATATAACTCTAGAACTAACTCTCTCATTTTATTTTCTCACAAAAGTGAGGTTGATGAAGTTACCGACATGTGTTAAGCATGTTATAAAATTATGTTGGATGTAATTTGATTAATTTTTTAGCTTTGATTGAACCAATAAGATTTATGTATTCTAAGTTGTTTACTTTCATTTGAAATTATGAGATTGAATTATTGTAGCTTTGTGATGAGACTTTAACTTACTTGTGAGATTGATGTATTTTAAGTTATTGATTATCTTGAATTTTTATTATTATTTCAACAAAATTAACGTTAAATAAAAGTTCAAAATTAACATTGAATTTTTATTTTTAATATTTCAATGACATTAAAATATAAACTTAAAATTATTCGTAATATAACTTTTTTAATTTTTTAAAAATATTATAAATATCCATGGATATCCTAGATATCCGTGGGTATTCAAGAAATTCATGAATACCCGCACGGATATGAGGTGAGTATGAGGCCAATTTTTATTCAGCGGGGCATGGGCGGGTTTACTATTACCCGTCCCCATGGGGCCCCATTGCCATCCCTATATATATGAGGGGATTATAATTATATCGGCGTAATTTTTACTAAATTTACACCACTCAATAATTTTATATTAAATGCGAATTTTGTAAATCTAAATGTTAGATTGAAAGTTCATATTTTAGTGTATTTTTAAATGAATATATTATGTCAATTTTGTTTTATAAAAATAAAGTATCAAATCATTTTTAATTAATATAAAATTTTGTATATATGATCTAAGAGATATGAACTTTTAATCTAACGGTTGAATTTACCAAATTCACATTTAATATAAAATTATTGAGTAGTGTAATACTTAGTAAAAGTTACACCGGTATAATTATAACCCCTCATATATATATATATATATATATATGAGTTAATCAATTATATATTTTAATTGTGTCATGTCAC